TCGACAGACACACCATCCTTGTTAATTACATGCCCCAAAAAAACAACTCCATTCAACCAAAATTCACATTTCTTCAATTTAGCATATAACCTCCTGTCCCTAAGTGTTTGAAGAATTAATCTCAAGTGCCTTTCATGTTTCTCCCTACTCTTCGAATAAATAAGAATGTCATCAATGAATACTACCACAAACTCATCCAAGTACAGTTTGAAAACCTGATTTATTAAATCCATAAAAGCTGCTGGTGCATTCGTAACCCCAAATGGCATGACCAAATATTCATAATAGTCGTACTTGGTTTAGAAGGTGGTCTTCTCAACATCTTCTGCCTTGACTTTTAACTAATGGTACTCGGATCTTAAGTCAATTTTTGAAAACACTTGTACCCTTTGTAATTGGTCAAATAAATCACCAATCCGTGAAAAAGGATATTTATTCTTCACTGTTACCTTATTAAGTTCTCAGTAATCAATACACAATCGAAGGGTCCCATCCTTTTTCTTCACGAACAACACAGGTGCGCCCTATGGCGATGTACTCAGTCGGATGAACCCCTTGGCAAGCAATTCTTGCAGCTGCATTTTCAATTTCTTCATGTTTTCCGGTGACATTCTGTACAGAGTCTTAGAAATCGGTTAAGTACCCGGCACAATATCAATGACGAATTCAATCTCACGGTCTATCAAGTCCCCTGGCAACTTTTTAGGAAATACATCGGGGAGCTCACTAAAAATCTGGATATTTTTAACACCCATCTCAGTTGGCTTTGCACTCAAAATGCTACACAAATAACCCCTACAACCTTTTTGAAGTAGTTTACAAGCTTTCATAGTTGATATCAAATAGGGTGGGGGGATCACCCCATGTCTTACAAAAGTAAACTCATCTGGACCCGGTGGGTGAACCATAACTTGCTTAGACACAATCAATGGTTGCATGATACTTAGCTAACCAATCCATTCTCAAAATTATATCGAAGTGCACCATATCAAGAGGCATCGAATTAGCACATAATGGAATATCTCCAAGTAAAAGCTCACATGCAGGATACATAGAAGTACATAACATACAGTGTCTGGATGGGAGGGACACGCACAACACATAATTCAAGGGTTCCGTGGATCTATTCAAATTAGGAGCAAATGTTTTCGAAACAAAGGAATGAGTGGAACCCGAATCAAGTAGCGCATGAGTAGGTTGGCCATTGTTAGAAAGCGTACTTGAAACTACGGCGTCTGAATTCTGGACATCACTTGGAACAAGAGCAAAGACTCTCCCTTGCCGAACATTGTCTCTAGAAGTAGTAGGCCTTGCTGGGGTCTTTGTTGCAAGAGCGGAACCGATTGAACTAGTAGTTGGCCTATTCCCTTTTTGTTGTCCAATTATAGGACAATCTCTCACCATATGCCCTGTCTTGCCACAATTAAAGCAAGCTCCTGATGCTCGGTAGCAAACCCCTCTGTTCTTCTTTCGACACTCTGGGCAAGTTTGTGTCGAATCACAGGTAGAACCCAAAGTGTTGGAAGTTCCCAAATTTTGTTTCTTATTTTGCGAGGACGCTAACCCTTTGTACATATTGGAACCCTGCCTCTTGCCCTTCCAATCCGAGTACCGGTTGTAGTTGGCTTGGTTACCTTCCGCTATGATGGCCTTATCCAATACATCCACATATTTCTGTATTTGCAATACATTAATCTTCTCAAGAATGGAGTCTTGGAGACCTCCCTTAAATTTCCTCGTTTTTTTGTAGTCTGTATCGACCATGCACGGTGCGAAACAGGCTAATTTGGTAAATTGCGCTTCATTCTCCGCTATGTCTTGTTTCCTTGCTTCAAGTTTTCAAACTCCGCCACCCTCTTGTCTCGGATACACTGTGAGAAGTACTTCTCATAGAAGATTTCCAAAAACTCAGCCCAATTCATTCCTTGATGTCCTTCTCAGATAAGCATCCACCAATGGTGCGCCTCTTCCTCTAGTGTAAAGGCAGCTAGCAAGACTTTCTATCCTTCTGTGCATGGAAAGACTTCAAACAATTTCTCGATACCAACCACCCACGCCTCTACCTTTAGTGGGTCAATTCCTCCTTTGAAGAAGGGTGGTTTCATCTTCTTAAATTCCTTTGTGAGAGCAATAGTTCGGTCGTCGGCTTGGTGGTCTTGCACTATAAGTGGTGGCACTGGTATTGGTATTGGTGGCAGTGGTGGTTGTTGTTGTTGTTGTTGTCTAAAAGCCTCTGCCATTTCCATAATCATTGCCTCCATCCTATCAAGTCGTGTGGAGGTTGAATCCTCCCCATCTTCCGCCCTTGTTCTCGCCATGATCTAGAGAAATATACATTATAATTTTCACAGATAGAATGCACATAAGTCACGTATACAAATACACATTTGCATGTCATATTTGGTTATGGATGCATTATGGATGCAAATTAAACTCTCTCTAGACTTCTTATTGCTCGCATGGACTCATGTGTGAGATATTAACTCGTGCTCTAATACCACTTTGTCATGACCCGAGCTTGCCCCTAAAAGTTTCGGTCATAACTGGCCAGTAATCACTTGATTATCTTCGGCTTCAAACAAACATACTGAGTAATTAAAGTAATGGGGCCACAAGCGGAAGTATACAACAAAAGGAGTCCATTGAGCTATAACAATATGCAAAGTGTAACACATCCATGTCATTTACATGCCCATACAAAAGAATACAAGTATCAAAGGGAATTGTGCATGATGTTTACAACCTAAGACCACATTTGTTTTGGAATTGTGCATGATGTTTACAACCTAAGACCACATTAGCAAAACAAAGTAAAATCAAAGTATGATGTGAGTCAAAGACAAAGCTCCATCTTGGAGGCACGACTCGATTGGGTCTCAAAAAGAATGGCTCCTAAAACTGACTCTAGGGTTGTGCTCCATGCTGAGGGTAACCTACATGTGCATACATAAAATTGGGTGAGCGAAGCTTAATGAGTAATAATATGGTAAAACAATGTAAATAGATAATCATAAGATTCTCAAAATACCCAAAATCGTATAAACAAACGGCCTTAGGTCCAAACGTGCTTCAAAACGGCCTCGGGCCCAACGCATAACAAAATGGTCTCGGGCCCAACGTTTAACAAAACGGCCTCGGGCCCAACATATAACAAAACGGCCTCGGGCCCAACATATATCAAAACGGCTTCGGGCCCAACATATAACAAAACAGCCTCGGGCCCAACATTATACATGTTGCATAATATTAATGAGGTTTCTCATTTCAAACAAATCATAATATTGGCACCAATCACCGTTCATGGTTCGAGGTGCGCAACAACGAACGTATAGATATGTTATTATTACTCACAGTGGGATCGATTTTGTGGCGTTTCCTTCGACACACGATCTACACCAAACATGTCACACACACATATTTAATAAGTAATTCAATTCAATTGTACTCCTTTTCTTTCATTATTCACAACCTTCGCTAATGAGTTTCTATTCATCATTTCACTCCCAAAAGGGCTAAATAAGGTTGGGAACGCATTCCGGAGGCGGGGGGTAGCAAGGCAAAACAACACAATTTTCTTCCTGTTTAGCCGCACGTACGGCCGGTCCGGCAGCTTGAGCGGTTTGGTTCCGCAAGTGCGGAAATGGCCGCCGCTCGAGTGCATGAAGAGGAGTGGTTTTTGTTAGAATTTACCATAAACCTACCACCACTACCACCTCACCTACTCCACTAAACCTAACCCACTACACCACTACCACCTCCACTTCACCTACTCTCCACCTACTCCCAAACACACTCCTATATAATAGGAATCCTTGTAATTGTAATATCTACAAAAATACACTTCAATCAATAATACTTCAATTTTTCACAGTTTTAGGCTTAAGTTTTGGGCGCTCGTGCGGAGTCCAAGACCGCACGAGCAGTTTGGGCTCACACAGGCAATCCGAAAATGGCCAAAAATGCCAAACCTTCCAAACTCATTTCCAAGCTTAAATTCATGCAAAAACAACTCAAAAACATGATATCTAAGCATGATACAAGTGTAATTCCATATTAAACATATCAATCTTGCATCAACAATAATTTCATGGACTCATCTCTTTCCCATATTCATACATTACATAAACAAATTCGAAGTATATAACCATGAATAACCTTACAACAAAACTTGTTTCCATGGATCATCTAAGGTTTGTTTCATGGGTCAATCACAAAAGTGAACTTAAATCAACAAAGATGGAGAGATTAGGGTTCAATCTCATGCCTTTAGCTCAAACCACCATACAACTCAAAACCCTAGTTCAAACTCCTAATTTCTTCTTGATTTCTTGACAAAGATGAGTTAGAATCAAAGTTTGTGAGTAATTTTTCATACCTTAGTTCAAATCTATGGTTTGCCCCTTAATTTCCTTCAAATCTCTAGCTTTCTCCTCTTCTCTCTCTAACTCACACTCTAGGGCTCTCAAGCAACAATGAAGAACAATAGGCAAAACACACATACATGACCCAACTCACAAAACATTATTTAATTATTACGAATCATAATTTTTCAAAATCTCACTAAAGGCTCTAAAAATCATACTAATCATAGATACGAAGTCGGTTTTTGTTTATCACGCCTCTACGTCTCTCAATTTCAGTTCAAAGTTCCAATTACAACAGATATTTTTATTTTCATTAGATATTTTTTCAAATTCGCATATTTCCCATACTTAAACTTGCAAATTCATGTCAAACACATAATCACATACATAATTAAGCATAGTACGGGTTGGGTTATCACCGTTTAGAACCTGAACTCTGATACTATGTTAACACAATTTGACAAATAGAAAAGTATACTGAATAATGTTATGTGTATTACATACAATACAATGAAGGCCCATATATATAGGCAAGAAAAAGAAAGAGAATCCTAATCCTACTATATAATGTAATCCTAATCCTATTATATAATGTAAATCCTAATCCAATATAGATTACTAACATTAAGTATATCTCAGCAGATGTTAAAAAGAATTCTGTTGTTTTTTTGGATGAAGCTGTGATGTTTTAATTTCATGGTTCCTTGCCAGCAAAAGTGGTGGGAGAATTTGTTTTCAAATTGCTATCAGAGACTGCATATGGAGCACAGAAGCTGGGAAATAGATCAATACACGGTTTGCTTGTGCTACTCAATACAGATTGGTGGCTTCGTCTCTAATAACCTTTGGCCCAATCATGGATCATTAAGAGGATTGGATAAGAACTGCTGTTCATGTGTGCACACTTTGTCTTTTTAAGTTTATATTCTGAGTATGTCTGAAATTGTATTGTAAACATAGTTTTGCTTTGTTGAAAGGAGGTTGAATTATTGTCACATTACACCAAATTTCAGCTTGACTAGTTTGTTTATAATTTAAATTGCATAAAAGAAGCTTAGCCTGTTGATTTGCCAGTTGCTTCAATCCATTGAGGTGTTTTTCTGAATAGCAGGCATTGAGGTGTTTACTTTGGTTGAAGTTTATGATTTATGTGATAAGTTCTGAGGTTACTAACAGATGACTAACCTGTGAGCACACAAAAGGTTTGATGGAGTTGAAAATGATGCTTTTTTACATGTAATAAGAAATACTTTTGCTAAGTTTGTTTGTGTGTTTTAATTTTAATTTTAATTTTTGAGGCAGAATTGTGCTGAATTTCTAATCTTAGATTTCATCTGGCGCTTGCACGTTAGCTATATGGAGAGCAAATTCAATCAATGAGTCTGTTATTCACAACACTCTGTATTTCAAAAATAATTTTTAATTTTTTTGTATTTTTACTGTCTTTATTGAACTTTTTTGTATTCTAATCAAAAAAAATTTTACGTGCACTTAAAAGATAAAATATGTATGCCAAAAAAAATAACAATAAATACAAAATAATATTAAAATGCATTAAATCTTTACATTTTTTTAATAGTTTATTTGGGCCAATATATTTATAGATTGAAGGTAGCACGAGTTACCAAAATCATTAACCCGATGCCATCGGACCAAATGGATATTGGCACAGAGAGATGGATATGCAATTATGTAAAAAAAGAGAACATTTATATTGTTTTTAAACATTTTGAATTGAAACATAAGTTGGCCATATGGCTTTTTGAAATTCAGTAGAGCTATTGGTGGAGAATTATTTAAAGGTAACAAAAATTTGGTTTAATTTGAATTCTATATTTATAAATTAGTTTCAATCTTAACCATTCACCTAATTCTATTAACTTATTTAACAAATATATATGTAAGTACACACATGACACTATTTCATTTGCTCTTCTAACATAGTATAAATTCTGACTCTAAACTTACCTACACCAAATCTATACCTCCATTTATTATCAATTCATCATATCAAACTGCGAGTATAAATATTAAATGTAACGGTGATACCAAGTTGCGATATCATATTCAGTAGAAATTACAATTATATTATGTGAAGATTAAACTTGTTAATTTAGTCTCTTTGTGATTTTTTATTAACTGGTGATAAAAATAATCGCCAAACAAGTCATTAAAACAAAGCAATCAATTCAAAGCCTAGCACTAAAAATACTCTCATAACTTGAAAGCTAGAACCAAGCAAGAAATAACAACTAAAACTAGGCAAAGCCTACTATGACGTAAACGAGTTATGATTAGATTTATTGAACTTAATTTAAAAATTATTCTTGGTAACAAGTTTAAGATTTACAAATCTTTTAAGCAATTTTTTCTTTGTCCTACTCTTGAAAACAAAACATAATTAATATTTTGTCATAAAGGGGTTGAAAGATCCTACCTATAAGATCCTATTTTATTCTCGGATTCGAATCGAGATTCTACGATCTTATAAGATCCCATTACCAGGATCGAAAGATCTTACCTATAAGGAGTTTTTTACACGATCCGGATCGATTGTACTCAAATGAATCGTAAGATCGTAGGATCGTAGGATCGTAAGATCCAGATCGAGATTCTGATAACCATGATTATATATAAAGTGAATACCCTTGTGAAGCCTTGGCTTCTTATTGCTGCCAAGTGTCCACTTTTTGTGTTTAAAACAAAAAATTTTTGATAGAAATAGAACCTTGAACCTTGGCCCTTGGGTCGAATGAAGTTAGACACTTAGGTGCCGTTTGGTAACACTTACGTTTTCAGTTTTTTGTTTATATTTATAAAAATTTTAAAAACTCAAATAAAAACTTGTTTGGTAAAATTTTTTATTTATAAATCAGTGGTCTCAGTTTATAAATTTGGCCAAAAAATGAAAACACAAAAAATGTGTTTCCATTTTGAGTTTTCTAAATCAACAAAGATGGAGAGATTAGGGTTCAATCTCATGCCTTTAGCTCAAACCACCATACAACTCAAAACCCTAGTTCAAACTCCTAATTTCTTCTTGATTTCTTGACAAAGATGAGTTAGAATCAAAGTTTGTGAGTAATTTTTCATACCTTAGTTCAAATCTATGGTTTGCCCCTTAATTTCCTTCAAATCTCTAGCTTTCTCCTCTTCTCTCTCTAACTCACACTCTAGGGCTCTCAAGCAACAATGAAGAACAATAGGCAAAACACACATACATGACCCAACTCACAAAACATTATTTAATTATTACGAATCATAATTTTTCAAAATCTCACTAAAGGCTCTAAAAATCATACTAATCATAGATACGAAGTCGGTTTTTGTTTATCACGCCTCTACGTCTCTCAATTTCAGTTCAAAGTTCCAATTACAACAGATATTTTTATTTTCATTAGATATTTTTTCAAATTCGCATATTTCCCATACTTAAACTTGCAAATTCATGTCAAACACATAATCACATACATAATTAAGCATAGTACGGGTTGGGTTATCACCGTTTAGAACCTGAACTCTGATACTATGTTAACACAATTTGACAAATAGAAAAGTATACTGAATAATGTTATGTGTATTACATACAATACAATGAAGGCCCATATATATAGGCAAGAAAAAGAAAGAGAATCCTAATCCTACTATATAATGTAATCCTAATCCTATTATATAATGTAAATCCTAATCCAATATAGATTACTAACATTAAGTATATCTCAGCAGATGTTAAAAAGAATTCTGTTGTTTTTTTGGATGAAGCTGTGATGTTTTAATTTCATGGTTCCTTGCCAGCAAAAGTGGTGGGAGAATTTGTTTTCAAATTGCTATCAGAGACTGCATATGGAGCACAGAAGCTGGGAAATAGATCAATACACGGTTTGCTTGTGCTACTCAATACAGATTGGTGGCTTCGTCTCTAATAACCTTTGGCCCAATCATGGATCATTAAGAGGATTGGATAAGAACTGCTGTTCATGTGTGCACACTTTGTCTTTTTAAGTTTATATTCTGAGTATGTCTGAAATTGTATTGTAAACATAGTTTTGCTTTGTTGAAAGGAGGTTGAATTATTGTCACATTACACCAAATTTCAGCTTGACTAGTTTGTTTATAATTTAAATTGCATAAAAGAAGCTTAGCCTGTTGATTTGCCAGTTGCTTCAATCCATTGAGGTGTTTTTCTGAATAGCAGGCATTGAGGTGTTTACTTTGGTTGAAGTTTATGATTTATGTGATAAGTTCTGAGGTTACTAACAGATGACTAACCTGTGAGCACACAAAAGGTTTGATGGAGTTGAAAATGATGCTTTTTTACATGTAATAAGAAATACTTTTGCTAAGTTTGTTTGTGTGTTTTAATTTTAATTTTAATTTTTGAGGCAGAATTGTGCTGAATTTCTAATCTTAGATTTCATCTGGCGCTTGCACGTTAGCTATATGGAGAGCAAATTCAATCAATGAGTCTGTTATTCACAACACTCTGTATTTCAAAAATAATTTTTAATTTTTTTGTATTTTTACTGTCTTTATTGAACTTTTTTGTATTCTAATCAAAAAAAATTTTACGTGCACTTAAAAGATAAAATATGTATGCCAAAAAAAATAACAATAAATACAAAATAATATTAAAATGCATTAAATCTTTACATTTTTTTAATAGTTTATTTGGGCCAATATATTTATAGATTGAAGGTAGCACGAGTTACCAAAATCATTAACCCGATGCCATCGGACCAAATGGATATTGGCACAGAGAGATGGATATGCAATTATGTAAAAAAAGAGAACATTTATATTGTTTTTAAACATTTTGAATTGAAACATAAGTTGGCCATATGGCTTTTTGAAATTCAGTAGAGCTATTGGTGGAGAATTATTTAAAGGTAACAAAAATTTGGTTTAATTTGAATTCTATATTTATAAATTAGTTTCAATCTTAACCATTCACCTAAGAAAAATGCGTGAGAGTTCGAATGTGTAGAGCTCGAATGGCTCGAAAATATTATCTTACCGGTAAGAGAATAAAAAAACACCCTAAAACGATGTCGTTTTGAGATTTCGAGCCATTCGAGCCATTTAATTTTCGAGCTACGTAGCAGTACCGTTCACCTAATTCTATTAACTTATTTAACAAATATATATATATATATAAGTACACACATGACACTATTTCATTTGCTCTTCTAACATAGTATGAATTCTGACTCTAAACTTACCTACACCAAATCTATAGCTCCATTTATTATCAATTCATCATATCAAACTGCGAGTAAATATTAGATGTAACAGCGATACTAAGTTGCGATATCATATTCAATAGAAATTACAATAATATTATGTGGAGATAAAACTTGTTAATTTAGTCTCTTTGTGATTTTTTATTAACTGGTGATAAAAATAATCGCCAAGTAGGCCATCAAAACAAAGCAATCCATTCAAAGCCTAGCACTAAAAATACTCTCATAACTCGAACGCTAGAACCAAGCAAGAAATAACAACTAAAACTAGGCAAAGCCTACTATGACGTAAACGAGTTATGATTAGATTTATTGAACTTAATTTAAAAATTATTCTTGGTAACAAGTTTAAGATTTACAAATCTTTTAAGTAATTTTTTCTTTGTCCTACTCTTGAAAACAAAACATAATTAATATTTTATCATAAAGGGGTTGAAGAGGACCTTTCAAGTGTAAAGATTTTTAAAAAAATCAGCCCATTTAAATTACATCTCCTTCGATTTTTGTCTCTTCATTTGAATACTCTTCACTTGGATTATATCTTCATTTTGCTTAAGTTCTAATGACGGGTTAGACACTTCAAAAAATGGGTTTTTCCTAATTTCCTTTCTCAATTTTTTTTTTTATTTATAAAAACCTTCTAAAAATTTACATAATAAATAAAATACATGATATTAAAAAAAATTAGAATGTTCAGTAGTTCAATTCAACCCACAAAACAACACATAGCTACGCCATGATTGGTGGTTAATCAAATCAAATTGAAAAATCAAACGATTGGAAATAAAATTTAGATTTGGAAATAAAGGTTCAAGAATTTTATTAGTAGCAGTATAAAGTCGG